TATTAAAGTGATATTAACTCAAAGAAAACATGATAAGTGATGAAAATGTGAAAGAGAAACGCGTGAAAGAGTGAGCAACAAAGCAAAAAAAGAGTGTACAACACCTGCATAGTCACATGGTTGGTGGAAAGGATACCCCCACCAAATTAAAATGCCCACACGCATCAGGTTGTACCATCTACAAACATCACATCGGCGAAGAAGAAGAAGAGTACCGAGAATTGGCTTTTGGATCTACCCATGAGCTTCCCTCCCGTAAACGACGCCTTTCCTTTTCCTTTCCTTCGAATCTCGTTTTGGCCTTTTATTTCCGTTCTCTTTCCCTCCACGCGGCCACCAAGCTACGGTTTCTTCGGCGGGGAAACTTTGGCGCGTGAAAGCGAGAGAAAAAAAATATGCGAGTGTGGGACCCGAAGCCGTATCCATTGTCATAAGTGGGACCCAGAGTTGTTGACTGTGCGGCACTAAAACACAGAAACTGTGTTTTGGGGTTTTTGGACGCACAGATCCCTAGAAGCATCCCTAGACTTCTGTGCACCTCGTTCGTGTTCTGTGGTACTGTGGCAGTGGACGCAGGGGTGAGGTTATGGGCAGTATTAAGATCATCAATTTTTTTATATAATTTCATAAATTTATAATTTTTTTAAACAATTAGTTTTAATATTTAAAATTTTTCATTAATTTTTTTAACAGTTAAATTACCATAAAATTTTGACAGATTTACTGACTCCAACGAAATTAGTGATAACCATAATCTTAGCTAGATCCAATAGTTATGGACTTGATTACTATTATGAGTGGGATTATTATTACACTTTATATAATTAATGTCATTTGTTTTGTAATGTAACTTATTATTATACTCTTATTACATTTTTTTTAAACTCTGCATTTTTTTTGTTTCTTAAATGAATTAAAAAATATAATAATTAATTAAAATAAAAATATTTATTATTAATAATTAAAAACAATAATATCGCTTTATTGTCACACAGCATTTTATTATGGCTACATAAATAGTATAGTATGTTTATTTTATTATTTGATTATAATTTATTTCAAAAATTAATTAGTCATAATATTTAAAAATATTAGTTTACAAACTAATTTTATTTTTTTAAATAAATATTAGTTATTTTATCAACAAACAATTACTATTATTAATTTTTTTTAATAGTCAAAAAAAATTTTATGGCCTTAATAAGATTGTGCCCCAATAATCATGTCCAATAGTTATAACCACATAAAAAATTATTAAGTTCATATAAAAATAATACAAGTGTAATTAGTTTAAATATTAATTGCAATTAATCATTATAATTATTAATTGATATTAAATAAATAAGTAATGTTTATTATTTAATAATTTTAAATTAATATATTAATTAATATTTTAAAAAATGTTAATAATTATAAACTAATAAAATTATATAAATTAAATATTTTATGCTGTCGTAATAATTATTTACTGTGACCTTTACATGACTCGTGTATTGTGTGGAATGGTATGGGGTTCAAACTTCAAAGCCATTCGCCACATTACATTTATTAATATTAATAAAATAGTAATTGTAATTACGAATTTACCATTTGAGACCTGACCGAAAAATGGCTAGAGCCGCCAAGCTACCAAGCCGAGCCAAGTATAAGGTTAGCCGAAAAAAAGAGCACCTGGTATGAGATTGGCTCTCTTAACATTTCCAGCTGCTTGAATTAGTAATTTAAATGTTGCAAATAATGGTGCTATAAAATAATTTTTTTATTTTTTTATATAATTTTTACATATTATTAAATAAATAGATACATTTAATATTATAGA